CTAAACTTTATTTCGGTAGCCAAATGACCAAGACTTTGTAGGATTGAATGAAAGAAGATTGCCTGTATGTGACTGAAATTTGTAGATTGGATGTATAACTAAAATCAACTACATCAACAATGAGAATACTAAAGGTAGTACTTGTGACAGAAGAGCTGAGATAGAAGAGAATTGCGAGCTGAGGTCATATCATGAAAAAGGATAAAAGAATAATGTAACAAAAAACAAATGTATCTACTCAATTACTTTATCGCAAGTGCAATCGAATACAAAGAAAAACATTTTTTTTTTCAGTGTTACTTGTATTCTTGATTGAGTGCCTTTTATCTTGAAAAGTTCTTTAATGATTTTTAGTCCTCGAGATAACTTCAGGACTCGTGGTGAATATTTTTTGGAGAGAAACAAGGATTTGTGACACGTCTGGGATCCATTATAGAAACGGGTCGGGATCTAGGTTCTGTTACGAAATTCAAGGACCTGTCTTTACCTACTAAGGATTCTTAGACATCGACCGATGTTATGTTTTTACTTAATTTATTTATTTTATTACTGTTATTGTTATTTTAGCAAACTTATAATCTTGTGTATAGTAAGTTCATGCTTTATGTATATAAGCTTATATTTATAAGATTATATATAAGCTAAACTATAGCAGAATATTGAAATATATTACGCACATACACTGCAAAACTGATTTCAGGTCTGATTCATGGTTAAAGTGAAATTAATAATAATATTAATGTTTGCAAGACCTATTTATTCTTGCCTCAAATAGTAATTATTTCCATTAAATTCCAGTTCCGGGTAGAAAAGTAGGAACAATCAAAACACGACGCCTGATAGAAAACGAATATTTTTTTTAATTTTTTTTTTGTAAGGAGTTTTGATCTACTACGTGTCTTTGATGTTTTCTGAAGTATTAATACTATCTAGAGGTCCCGCAGTAGTCGAAATTCGACTATAATTAATTGGAATTGTAAGTTTGTACAATATTATGATTGTATTTTATACTTCTATAATCATAAATTTCGCCAAGGCTACACTATAAAAAATATTATCAAAGACAAACAATATTTAATCTATTCTCAATTTGACAACAGACGCCAAGAACAAAAGTTGTACAATAAATACGTATGCATGCGTGTGTGCGTCAAATGCATGGTATGTAGTGTGTGTAATGTTTTCTTTATTGATTTAATATATCTTTTATGCATTATTAAAAAAATTTTTTAGCATTGTGCACTTCTTCTCTATATTCTCTATAAGTGTGGAAAATTTCATACTCCTCCGTCCGCGCAATTTTCGTAAAAAGGGATACAAAGTTTTTGCTTCACGTATTAATATCCGGGGCTCCCAAATACCAGCTTCTTCCATTTGACTCCATACAGAGAAGGGCCGTTCGGATTGTCGATAATCCCGGTCTCACGGATCGTTTGGAACCTCTGGCATCTCGTTTTTACCATCGCACCGCCAGCCACCGGAGTAGAGTTCATCCATACTACCTGGAGCCACTGCGGTCATCCACAGTGCGTTTCCAGAGGTGTTTTTTGCCACGTACCATCCGGCTATGGAATGAGCTCCCCTCCACGGTGTTTCCCGAGCGCTATGACATGTCCTTCTTCAAACGAGGCTTGTGGAGAGTATTAAGCGGCAGGCAGCGGCTTGGCTCTGCCCCTGGCATTGCTGAAGTCCATGGGCGACGGTAACCACTCACCATCAGGTGGGCCGTATGCTCGTCTGCCTACAAGGGCAATAAAAAAAAATATATATATATATAGATAAAAATACTTCTAATCTTTCCATACCTAGATTATTTAAAACAATGCTTAATCTGTCTGTCTCCAAACGAAAGGATTCAAATGTTTCAGCTTTAGTTAATGAACTAGAATATACTGCATAAATCTAGATTACGTTTATTAAAATCGGTTACAAATGCATCATGCACGCGTTTTGATCAAAGCACAACATCATATTGTGAATAGCTTTGGACTTTGTATATTTGTAACTATATAAACAATTTTATACTATAATTTTATACTTATACTAGCTTTTGCCCGTGACTTCGTCCGCGTGGAATAGTTACTTTGGCATAACGCAAAATTTTACCCGCGACTTCATCTACGTAGAAGTGAAAATATTTTTGAATAATAAAGGAGCAATTTAAGGTACCAAAATCACAGTTTTTAATCGACTTCAAAAAAGGAGGCTATCAATTCGACCACAATTTTTTATCTATGTATGTTCACTAATTTCTCGAGAATGCTTGATCTGGTTCTGATAATTCTCTTTTCTATTTTGTGTTCGAAAGGGTAGACTTCCCGAATTGTCCTGTAATCATCAAGACCTGATGATGGGATCCTGGAGAAATCCACAAAAATCTATAATTTTCAAAGCGTAGCTTGAAGTGCTTTGGGTGTTTCTTTTTATTGTTCTTATTCTGTGCCACCGCGCACCGGTCGGCCGGCGCCTTGTACATCAATATTACACGCTTGATCATTGTTTTGCTGCGATGTTATTTTAAAACTGCGATATCTTCTCATACTCATTAAAATACTTATAGCATTAAAATCAAGTGTGGGTAAATTTCTTTAAAATTAAATACTTGTAATGAATAACGTATTTATTTGGATAGGGATTAATATCATCTTTATAAAAACACCTTCACAAATAATGCTTTATTTTAGAACAAATTTGGTTAGCTTAAAAACGTTATAGTGAGTTAACCTTTATATATATACACATGCTATCGCGGACTTTTTTTTAACTTTTAAGGGGGAACAGTACTGTCGTCTGTCATACATTATTTTAGCGAAAATTTAACCGTTTCCGCAGCGCACGCAGCGGAAGCTTTCAAAAAAAAAAGATGTGTGGTATCGTAGGACACCGGATAGGAAAGAAGTTCCTTATTATAAAAATATTAATTTTAAGTTCTATTCGACGCGAGGTATAAAGAAAATAATTATTTGGGTATACATTTTTTATTAAAATTTTTCATTGATAAAAATAAAAATAATCGCAAGGGTCTACCACTCCGCAGGTCAATGGAGCAGCCTCGCCCTGGGGGAACCGCCTGCATGATCACGGTATCCTCTACGCCAGGTAAGTATGATTTAGCAAGAGAAATACGAGAACGTCTATCAACTGTGTAACATCTCGTCACCGCGATTCAGGAATTGTTGAATTTACGTGCAGCAACATCTGTTGATAACAAACTAAATAGAAAAAATCTTACGTTACGGACGTTTTTTCCCGTTTAGGGTACCCCTCCGCATCGTCCTATAAGGAACTTCGTTCCAAAAAAGCCCCGATTTTGAAACAATCTTTATCGGTGTTCTTATCTAAGCGTAATGTTATATATATATATAACCCATAGCCTTCTTCAATCAATGGGCTATCTAACACTGAAAGAATTTTTCAAATCGGACCAGTAGTTCCTGAGATTTGCTCGTTCAAACAAACTCTTTAGCTTTATAATATTAGTATATAAGATTGTTTGTTTATGTTTAATTATTATTTCATTCGGTTTTTAAACCAATAATTTATAAATTGAAACAAATTTTTTTTGTCTAATTTAAAATGACGGCACATTAATGCCGACTGTTACTAATCCACGCTTCAAAGAAGTAATCAGAATACGTTTTTTTTTCATTAATAAAAAATGACACAGATCATTGTCATTGAGTTCAAGCTGGGTCACGGAGAATTGTCGTTGAAGGTATTTATGAGGCACACGCAACGCTAAACAATACGGCGACTATAAATAGCTTGAGAATTATTTGGTATAATGGAATCAATTATTGTAGTCTGGTACACAAGCGCGTTTTTTGTTTTATATATATACACATATGCTTCCTAGAACTCATGATTATCACGAAACGAATGCTTCGGATTAGCTTGCATCACAAAGCGAGAGTCTCAATAGCGTAATACGCTCACTAGGCTCTAAAAGGGTATACCGACTTTTTTGGGACAGAAAATTACAAGATTGTTGATTGCAAAGAAGAAGTAGAAGAAGGAAGGAACTGGTACTGGTATAGATAAGATACAGTATTTAGAGTTAGTCGGGATAGTGTACTAATCATGAGGAGTGGCTTTTTAGATTTGTTTTAGTGTAGGATTCTGTTGCCCTTTATTTAGGCTCAAATTTTTTTTTAAATCATGGTACACAGAGGATCTCGTGACTAGTTTATTGCTAAATAACTGGAAACCAGATAGACGTCACATCGAAAATGCAAAGTTGAATTCTCGATTGCACTGAATAACGTTGACACTTTATTTTTGTACGATAGCATATTGTTCCTGACATTTTTCAAACTGTGTATTTAAAAATATATTATGTCAATACTTTGTTGCAAATTCAATTATTTGTCTGATTGATTGTCAGCCAAAACGGTTAAATTTGAGTTTACGTTATGTTTTTTTGTTATTACGATTCTTCAAATAAAACTGGACCATTTTCAGGATTAATAAGAAGCCGATTGTAGATGGCCATCATGTCTTAAGGTGTATGGTATTATTCACGATATAGGCACCAGTAACCCCCTTTAAATGAAGAATTTGTTTATTTCAGATTTACTAATTTATATTTATAATTGTTTTCTACTTTAATAATAGTGAAATTCTAATTTTAGAAGTCAAGTGCATTAAGGGTAAACACCACAAAACCAGTCGATATTACGAGAAGCCTTAGTAAGCGGAAACCTTATAGGTTATTTAAGTAAACAGCTGCGTTATCGTCTTTTAAACAGTTGATTTAAATACAAGAAGTCATTCAAATAAATTAGAATTAGAATTTTTAATTATGAGTGAGTGTTCCGTACCTCTTTCTAATATTGTATTTTTCAGTGAGTGCTTTGTTTGGAACATAGATTCTGATGCAACATATTAACGTTAAATAATATATTTATTATTCCTGACCAGCTATTGCTTCATATTTTAAATGAGAATTAATTTAAAAAATAATTAAGAGTAAAAAATAATTAAGAGTAAGTTAAACTTACTTTTCGCCATGTTTCTTCAAATTGAATCACTTCTTATAATGCAATCACAGGTACGTAATATGTTAAATACTTCACTAGTTTTTTATTGGGACAGGAACATAGTTCTTCAGATGCGAGAAGAATGATCAAGTTTGATGGAGTAAGCACGCGCGTAGTATGCTTCGGCGGCGGTCACGTCATTCACAGAACTAATAAAGAAATTATTTGTCATTTTACACCAAGTTCCCGGACTAGGCCATAACTCTTATCAGCAAATATAAAACTCTGAGGCTCTTCAAACAGATAACTCAATACTAATCCTCTTGATTTTTGTCTTAGAAATGAACAATCAACAGCTTTAGACAATAAGCTAAATTTGTTTAGTAATAAAAGTAAACTTTACTTGCACATAGTAATTGAAATGTTCATTATTTTTCTTACTATATATTTTTTTATTTAGTAACGTACGGTTTTGAAAATATTTATTCTTCGTTTAAAAAATACTTAATTGTTATTGCATTGTTTTTTTTTTAATTTATTTTGTTGCTTAGGTGGTTGGACGAGCTCACGGTCCATCTGGTGTTAAGTGGTTACCGGAGCTCATAGATACCTACAACGTAACTTTGAGATATAAGTTCTAAGGTCTCAGTATAGTTACAATGGCTGCCCCACCCTTGAAACCGAAACGCATTACTGCTTCACGGCAGAAACAGGCAGGGCGGTGGTACCTATCCGTGCGGACTCACAAGAGGTCTTCCTACCACCAGCAAAATTTTACTAATAATTCCAATCTGTCGAAATTATTTACTGAACTGTAACATCGGAAAAGGATCAAGCAAATCCAGACTTAAGCCATCCAAGCTAAATCATTAATTAGGTATCATTTGAAAACTCAAATACAGAATAAAAAAGTGAGTTTTTGGAGAAAAATACTCTTTAGTTGTATAATTTATTATTTTAGGACGAGTTCGATGTTAGCCGTTTTTTGTTATTTTGTCAAATGTCTTTTTTTTTTATTGCCGTTGTAGGCAGACGAGCATATGGCCCACTTGATGGTAAGTGGTCACCGTTGCTCATGGACGTCAGCAATGCCAGGGGCAGAGCCAAGCCGCTGCCTACCGTTAAGTACTCTCCGCAAGCCTTATTGAATTGTCTTATTGAATTTTAATGTCAATTGAAATACAAAGTATGATCAGTAAATAAATTATAAGATTATCAGGTACCTAATAATAATAATAATAGGGACCTACTCGCTGGCAGCTTAAGGGGCTATTTCAGTTCTCACAGGCGGGTAGGTGAGCTCACGGGCTCAACCTGAGATAAATTGCTAACACTAGCCCTAGCAAGAGCAATACTTCGCACAATCTACCACCGATTTGGATTCGCGACTCACTGCGAAGATCCGGCGAGATACTCGAGATAGTAATAATAGTACTCTTATAATTCTAAGGCCGTTTTAATTATGCGTATTTAAACCGAATAGCTGCTCTTAACAAAAATAATTGAAAGAACTCATCTAACTGCGCAACGAAATATTTTTGTTTTGTAAATTCGTTATCGGCTAATATGATTAATTTAAAGTGTGTTCTGTTATTAGACTAGAAGATGCAGTAATGAATCTCGATCTATCTCAACTAACAGCAGCAGCAAGCAACTACACATTTAAATTCCCAAACCATACTTCCGTATTATAAGGGTCTTGGTCTTACTTTCGCCTTAAATTTTTTTATTGCTTAAATGGGTGGACGAGCTCACAGCCCACCTGGTGTTAAGTGGTTACTGGAGCCCATAGACATCTACAACGTAAATGCGCCACCCACCTTGAGATATAAGTTCTAAAATCTCAGTATAGTTACAACGGCTGCCCTACCCTTCAAACCGAAACGCATTACTGCTTCACGGTAGAAATAGGCAGGGTGGTGGTACCTACCCGCGCGGACTCACAAGAGGTCCTACCACCATCCTATTTAATTGCGAAACGACTTCAGACCTCCAACATTTCTATATCTGCCTATATGTATATACTATATGTGTTTCCTTGTATCGAATTTTACTGACGTCATAAATTCAACTTGTCAAATTTTGATGCGCTATATGCTAGTTTATTGGTGGTACACCTCCTACACCTCTTGTCAGTCCGCACGGGCAGTGTACCACCACCCCGCCTATTTCTGCCGTGAAGCAGTAATGCGTTTCGGTTTGAAGGGGGGGGGGGGCGGCCGTTGTAACTATTCTGAGGCTTTAGACCTCATATCTCAAGGTGGGTGGCAGCATTTACGTTGTAGATGTCTATGGGCTCCGGTAGCCATTTAACACCAGGTGGGATGTGAGCTCGTCCACCCATCGACGCAATTAAAAAAAAGTTACCATAAATGATTAGATTCTAAAATTAATAAGTGTTTTTTGACTCTAACGATAGTTTTCGAACTCTTTCCACCTGGAGCTAAATGGTTATAAGTCTCAGTTCTATGGTGCAACGACTTCAAACCGGAGCGAATTAGTTCCTCGCGGCAGAAATAGGCGAGGTGATACATATAAATTTGTCCAATTGAGCTGAAACTTGCTACAGTTCCTGGTGATACTTCAATTAAGGTTTTGATGCTTAATTACGATAAGTAGCATGCGAATGGCTTCAATAAATGTGGGTGTATTTATTATTATATATCATTTCGTGACAATAAAAATCAATTGAAATTTTTGGTAAATTTATTATAAATAGATTGATAGAGTACTGGGTGCATTGTTTCGTCTTATCTGACTTGAATCGTGAAATGATGATGCAGGCGACAACGTCTGAGCTCGATAGAAATCTGAAAAAAAAAAAGAAGATATTAAATAACTTTGAAATGCAAATTATTTTATATAGGTACTCGAAGATTATATAGCAGATCTAAAATTAGCTTACACAAAATGAGATTTGAAGTTTACGTGAGATAATTTTAAATTAGGATACTATTACAACAATTTCTATCTCAAAGTAAAAGATTCCAGACTTTACGCCTTCGGCTATTCGTAATATCCAATACCAGGAAATTTGTTTTATAAGAAACTTAAATTTGTTTTTTTTGTTGTTGTTGTGGATAGGTAAATCCATATTATCAGCAATTTTGCTAATTTATTAACTACAATGGTATTCGTTGTAGGATTTGAATCTTGACCGTGAACCGATACGACACCACCATAGCAAGACATTACTCATTACGCCATGGACGCTTCAAAAAAATATCCTCTGGTTTAATAATACATGGCGGTTTGTTATGGTTATTGATATCACGATACGGGTATTAGATAATATTCATGTAAATAACAAGTTAACAACGCTTTAACATGCTGCATTAAGGACTGACATCACATCAAATTATTTTTATTTAAACAATTTTATATTATTAACTAGCTGACCCGGCAGACTTCGTAGTGCCTCAATCGATAAATAAAAGACCTAAACTTTTGTATAAAATAAACTTAAAACAAACAAAAGAACACCGACGGGGGAGGCATCAAAGGAAAAACAAAATTGTTATTTTTATTTAATTCCGAGCATTTTCATATTTATCTACCTTTTAAACCTTCTCTGGACTTCCACAAATAATTCAAGACCAAAATTAGCCAAATCGGTCCAGCCGTTCTCGAGTTTTAGCGAGACTAACGAACAGCAATTCATTTTTATATATTATATAGATTATTTATTACAGATGTTTCTATTCAGCTTCTGTACACGAGTACGTCGAGTGTCGGTATCAAGTTAAATAAAAATGAAACTTTCAATCCTCATAAATTTTGGAAAATAATAAAAACTTGCGCCAAGAGTAAAACTACCGAAAAACCGAAGTACACCCGAAATTGCGAGATACTTATTTGATGTCGGCTAAAATATAATAGCAATGCAGCACTGTAGTGTTTTGTTATGATTTATAATTGTATTTTTAATTTAAAAAAATATGTGATGTAGACTTTAACTGATATGCATAGTCTAATGCAATAACAATTATATTTATGCAACCTAACATTTGAAAATGATGAGCGAAGACATTGCGTTATGAGATATTGTATTGATTTTCCCATTCGTTAACTCATGAAGGTTATTAGTAATTACTAAAAAAATTTTGGAGTTCCTCTTTAAAATAACTTAACTTTAGGTAAATTTCTTTTGCTTTATGCCCTTATTCCAACTGAAAGCATTTGGTATGTTTCAAATTATTACCTCCAGGCGATATTCTCGAGTCTTGCGATAGGAGAATGGGGCCCAGAGCAGTGGTTAGCACGGAGCCTGCTGTCGACGTTATTAATATGGCAATAACGATTATATTCGCATGCTGAGCTGCTGTTCGTTTGTCTTCTTCACTTGCATCAGCTAAGATAGAGTCCGCTGCAACTCGTACTAGCACGGCCTTAAAACGTATTAACGAAAAGTAAATAGTAATATACAAGACGAATATGGAATCTAAATATAAATGCTATTATATTTAAGATTAAATTGATTTTATTTACTCTTTATTTCATAATCATACATTTATGATATATATACATACGTTATATTTAACATTATGTGTATTCTATAATACTGAGATGTTATTTTAAGGAAGATTTTTGTTTTGAGTTTGTTCTTTTTTTTGTTTTGTTGTTGTTGTTTGTTATTCTTTTGTTAATGCACCTACCATGCATTATCTCTGCACCACCCTATGGTCGACTGGAAGAGAATGCCCATGGCATTAAGTCCGCCTGTGTACAAGTTTTGTTTTGTGCATAAAGTATAAATAAATAAATAATCAAAACTAGTGTAACTCATAAAATCTTGCTTTTATTTTTTCATTATATCATGTCCGATATTTAAAATACTTTACAGTTTTCTTGGTTACGGGCGATATAGCTACTATAGATGAGTATTTGAATATTGTAGAAACTACCGTCTAATTTTTATTAAAAAAAAAACAAGAAAACGCTTCGAACGAAAAAAATAAATAAAATTAAAATAAAATTTTTTTTATGATAACACTGACTAGTAATTGTTATTTTCGTCTAAAGCGATACCAGGCCCATGCTAAGAAGTAGACTTTAAAAAGATAATGTCATACAGAAAGTGAATACCATCGGTAAACATTTATCATTAACAATGTAATCATATTCAACTCAAGCGTTGGTCACGGTAAACTAGGCAATTTGTTAGATAAACCTGTTAGGACTTTGAAAATTTCTGTATTCTTGTTTATCTAGCGACCTTTATTAGTAGTAATAAATAGACGGGCCCCGTGGTTTCATCCGCGTCAGTTGTATAGTTCAAATTAAATACATTTTAGAGTAATAAAAGCAATTCTTCGTTCCCGGGACAAAAATACTTGTAATCTACTGGTCCATAAAGTACCAGTAGATTTTAAATAAAAAGTATCCTATGTGCTAATCCAGGTTACAAAAATATATTCTCCTCCAAATCCGTTCCGCCATTTTGGGTTCATTGCGTACCTACCTAACAAATTTTTCAAAAAAACTTTCCCCAGCATAGTAGTATACAAATATAAATTAGTATAGATTTGTGTACTATAGAATAACGAAGTTGATCGATGTTCTTGTTGAGTATTAATAATTCAGACAACGTTCTCAGCTCAGTTCTCCACAGTAGTAAGTAACACTAAATTTAATCCAGCAGTCTGCTAGTAGACATGTTAACAACTTATGTGGAACAACATAATGTTCCTAGTTTACTTAGAAGCTCCAGTAATGCCGACTTAGCTCGGAGTTCACCGAAATCAGTATTTAGCAATAGCAGTATCTGAAATGTATGTATAAAATTTGGCCATGGAAGTTAACAGAGTTGTTCTAAAATTAATAAAGGTACATTTTTCGTTTGTTATCTATATGTTAAAAATGTTAACGAAAAATAAGAATTTCCATTTTCCAAAATTTCAACGAAAGACTTGTTTCTTTCTTAAAATAATATTAGATAAAGTATGTATTTTTATTTTAAAAAGATACCACATTGAAATACTATAAATAGACCTCGGAAACTATAGAGCATGAAATAATATAATATGAGTAGGAAACGCGAGATTAAGCTTGGCGTTTAAATCATGTCAGTTAGACCATGCACTTTTCTATCTCATAAAAAAACTATTTCAATATTCAGAGCTATTCACAAAAGCTCCGTGGTGGATGGTGTGTTTTTCCTGACTTAATTTATTCATATTTTATGACTTACCGACTTTTCAAATTTGTTGTCCCCGTTTTGCTGAACGGGTAGCCAAATTCAAAATTCCTAAGATCCTCCCAAAGATCCTATTATAGGATCCAAGACTAATTAGCTTTATCTTGGGTGGTCAGAACCTTATCGTTCAAAGGTTATATAATATACTTGCTGTTGCGACTCTAGACCTTGGTTTTATAGGAGTTTTAGTGGTGGAACTCAATGGCAAGGAAATACCCGATAAATTTCAATTAAAAGTGGAAAAGAGGCTTCTGTATATTTTGAATTTTATGTAGGTAATTACGTGAGCGCTCTGTCTTTGCTGGTTTCCGTAATTTTACTTGAGGTTCGTCGGATAAAGTCATTACTCACTAAATAAATAGGTGTGTGGCTTGTACCCACGACCGTCTAATGTTCGCTGGTTTCGCTTTTCACAAAGCGTGTTATTTGTGTAGCTACAGTCTACCAGTAAATAACAGTTCACCTCTATATACTTACCTACCATACGCAGTAATTTATTCTTATCTCTCGTGTTTTATTGTGACAGTGTAAATTAAACTTTACAAGCTAATGCCTATAAAGTTTATAATTAACTTGCTTTGTTATATTTGCATGTATTGTATATGCTAGAACTAAGGATGATTTTGATTGTTCCAATTTTTTTGGTATTAACTATTTTCAATCAGTGTATCGATCAGTATCAATCAGTTTCAATCATAGTATCGATCAGTAACTCACTCGGAATTCCTCTTTATATGAACCGAAATAAACACATATTTATCCTAATTAGCAATTCACAAACACTTACTACAGGCAAAACTCAATTCCAAATAAAAATGTTTTGCGGAATTGCTTGCCTTTCTTGGAGTTCCAGTAAGTTGAACGTGAAATGAAAGTAAAGCGGACAGCGCCAAGTGACCGTTGTTAATTTGTTTACAGATAGCACTGCGATCTTGGGAAAAGCTTTGACTTAGAAGTCGGGACAGCTGGTTTACAAATGTTTGACTCTAGTTAACACGTAAATTAATTTACGGAACCCGAACTGTTCCGTTTGGTTTTCTCACAAAATATTTATTTATATCTAAACTATGTGTTGTTCTGCATTCGTTTTGCTTTTTAAATTATTTTACGCGTAGCTATTTTATCCTAGTTCTTTCTATATATATAAAAAAGAATTGCTGTTCGTTAGTCTCACTAAAGCTCGAGAACGGCTGGACCGATTTGGCTAATTTTGGTCTTGAATTATTTGTGGAAGTCCAGAGAAGGTTTAAAAGGTAAATAAATATGAAAAAACTCGGAATTAAGTAAAAATAACAATTTTGTTTTTCCTTTGATGTGTCCCCCGTTGTACGGATTCATTTTGTTTGATTTAATTTTATTAAATTTTATTTTATACAAAATCTTAGGGCCGGGTCAGCTAGTTAACGTATAGATATTAATCTCATACCTTTTAATACCCTACCTAGGCGGATGCACTCGCCGCTTGTTAGCAATGGCGAGTTGCGCTCCGTGGCTGGTGCGTGGCACTTTTCTTGTCTAGAATCATCCAAGCACGGAAGTTGCAATTATGATTGTCGATACTGGAGACCCAGTGCAAGTTTTTAGCTTTACTCAGATATTGGGAGAATCACGACTGAGGCAGCCTTACCTCCCTGCGGGTGCTGATGCTGCCGAGTACGGTTCGGAAGTTCCTGTACAGGATTGGGGCTAAGCGGAAAACAGGTGTCATCACTATAGATGCAACTTAGATGACGGCACTGTACACGCACAAATCGGTGTCATGTTGATGAGCTTCTGAGTGCACTATTTTGCTGTTGCGGGGCGCGAGAGGGAGCATTTTTCTTTTACCGCACCAGCCTGTCGCCGTAGAGCCAACTGCCGGAATAGGGATCTCGCCCAAATCCTGGCCTCGTCAGTATTTCGAATCCTCTCCGTATATTGGTTTGGGGCCCGTTCAGAGAGACACGATTTTTTTTTATTATGTTGTTCACGTCTTGTAAAAGATAAATCAGGTGAAAGCTGACTGTTCTCCCTGACCATCACAATGGTTCTGACCCAGCAGGCTATCCTAAGGGTACGAGTTAGTGGCGAGGTCTAGGCATGCTTCGGATAGTCTACCAACTGAGAGGTCCAGCGATCGCCAGTGGATGGGGTGAAACATATTCCCGCAAAAAACTTGTCACCTTGTTCTCAGCCTGCCTCAGGCGAGTTCTATTTCATCTGAGACTCGGACGCGGATTGTTAAACGAACAGGATCAGTTCAACTTCGTCATGTTTGGCCTATTTTTTTTTCCGGCTGGGTTCCGAACCTCCTACTAAGACCCGCGCCCAGGAGGCGCGCTGGGTTTGTGGGACTGGACGGTCCGCAGATTTTGGGAATGAACGGCGGACCTAAGGGATGGAATTTAAGACCATACCCACGAAACTACTACCCTGCATTCTTTCACCCAACATCCGATCTCCGCTGGGGGTCAGAACCCGGTCAGAGTAGGGCGGTTCCAAGGGTCAACACTACAACCAGATTCGCAGCGCCACGGTGATCGTCCATGACCAATGACACCGGTCTCCGCTGTAGGGCGGCCTGTCAGGTGTTCCGGTATAGCCCGCTGGGTTAGAATCAGCCTACCGGATCGGAACGCGATACACCGTCGACCGGGTTGCTTTTCCACAGTATATTCGGCGTCGACAGCAACGACGGCAACACGGACCGTAGCCGTCGAGGCGTCGTCCCACCCTTCTGGTGCCAGCGGGCTAGAGTGACGGAAGCGTGCGGCGCAGCCCCGCCGCCCTCAGGTCACCCAGTGACCATAACCGGCTGCCTTCTCACAGGGGCCGGAGCTGCACGAATGCCTTCCTTCATATGCATTGCTTACTGCCCCAACGCGTAGGCGGAAGTCCGGCGATTTAGTTCGGATAAAAAAGAACGCCTAACTAAATCTCCAGTAGTTTCCATAAGATAAAGATTTCAATTAGCTTATTAAATTACTAAATGTAGAATAGGGATCGCAGCGCATAAAATAAAACTTCCACTGTTCCAATTATAATTAATAATTAACACTTTTATTACGTCTTGCTCAATTTTCAACCGTCTTCGCTATTTCCTTTTCTCTGTCATTCTCTTCTCCCTTTCTTTCCGTTTTCTCTCACTTACACCTTAACGCTCCGTTCCACACTCTTTTCATACGTTCCGTTCTTACCAATCCTACAAAAATTTAGGGACAGTTTTAGCTAAGTCTAAATCTTACGTAGTATTTACTGTGCTTGACCAATTTCTGATAGATAGGACTTGGTAAATGCAAATCTTAATAAATACGTAAATTTTGTATTTAATTAATACAAAAATTAAGTTACTGATACAAGTTGTAGGTTAAATAGTGGAATATTATCTTTAAAGTCAGCAACGTAGTATGATTAGCAACATGTTCTCCGCGAGTGGAGTTAAAGTCCGTTGAGAAAACCAATGTGATGAAAAAAAAAAAAAAATTCGCTTGGGGTGAAAACCGAACGGCAAGTCGCAAGGCATCTGTACATTAAGCATATGTGCACTAAAAGACACGTGCAGTAATAGCCATATTAAGAATTATGATATTAGTTTTAAGTTTATTAGTAGTGCAGGCAAGACTGAAGGCCGCTTTGTGTCACATGCCGACACGACGCGAGACTGACACGTCGCACTTACATACATAGCAGCTCCACTCTGATTAATAATTAGGGCGTGAATGTGCAGTCTAGTAAAAAAAATCTCCTCTGTTTTAATAGAAGCGATTTTCTTCAAATTGACGCCTTTAAGAAACTTTTGTTAAGCTGCAAAATGACTTAGATTTCGAAATAATCATTTCAGTAATACCGAATAGCTTTCTCGGTATTTATTTAATATATTATTATCATGCAATAATTGGTACGCTGCTTACCTCGACGATAGCCTTCGGTATCCAAGTGACGCTCACGAATACGCTCTCTTTGATGGACAAATTGTTAGCCAGTCCAACCAAAAACGCAGTAAGCATTCGCAGAAATAGTGCCGAAATTATACACCCGATGATCAGACATAACTCCTTTGTATTTAGTTGTGAAACCTGACCAAGAATTGAGACTGTGTTAAAAACAAATTTTTGCTTTGAAATTGGTATTAACAATATAATATTATTAGAAATGCCCAGCCAATGTAATATTGGAAATTTGATTGTTTATTCTTTTCGATTTTTAAATGAATTTTATTTTCATCAAAACAAGGGAATGTTGCCGTTTTCTGAATAACCCTAACATAGAGATTATCCGGTCAAATGTGATTAATAATTATACTAGATATCACAAATTTTTAAAAATCTTAAATTGATTCAACACTTATAATGTTTTTCTTAATTTGAAATTGTAATTTTATTTGTTCAAGAAATTAACAACCAATTAAGATTCAGTCACTACTTATTTCAAATTTTAATTTTTACACAAAGATAAAATTATTAAATCAATTATTTATACATCAAATGTCATTGTAATATTTAAGTTAATGTTAATGTATTCTTCATTCTTAGTATTATATATTTTTACGTTGTAATAATTTGGAAACTTACATCTAGAAAGTAACCGCTGAGCGTAAACAGCATGGGCTCGAATATTCTCCACAACAATTTGTAAACCTCGGACACTGGATTGTCATTAATAGGCCATCCTCGTCGGGACCACCTGGTGGCTGCAACGCCAGCACACACCATTATGGCGACACCCGCTGAAAAATATAACGTAAATAATACAATTCCTGTGATATCGAATATCAAATATTTATTTTAACAAAAACTGAATTTAGTAATAATCAGATCGAGGTTAAGAAGGTTAAGGTTAAGATAGTGAAAGAAAGCCTATAAAGGAATCTTAATTGTGTAATTTAAACCAAGAATCTGCTACAACATATCGTTAAAGGTCGTAAATGTAGATCGAATTTAATACGCTGGCGGGCTTTAAAATAAAAACGGCACGAAAAAATAACAAAATATGTGAAAAAAAATTATCATATTGGTGACATTGGCAAATATTTCCATTGTTCAATGAATTTAAGATGGTTTTTTTTTCTTTTATAACATATGACGATTATTTTTTTATTATTAACAAAAAGTCAAATCAAAATAATTTAACATACATCAACCTACACAGTAGAACAGATCTTCCAAGGCGCTTGAAGGAGGCACAGTTCCCAAGATACTGGCTACGTTGCCTCGTTGGACAGCCAGACTCACTCTCTGTGCAAAGTACCAGCCAGCCTTAGCATCACGTGTAACCTCCTTCAAGCGTTTGGAGATTTCTGTTAAGATGGTTATTTATTTAGTTTTTTATTGGTGGTAGGACCTCTTGTTAGTCCGCACGGGTAGGTACCACCAGGCATCAGTAGGTACATATCAGGTTATATCTCAAGGTGGGTGGCGCATTTACATTGTAGATGTCTATGGGCTCCAGTAACCACTTAACACCAGGTGGGCTGTGAGCTCGTCCACCCATCTAAGCAATAAATATTAAAAATAGTTTTTAGGGACATGTCACTCGATATATGAAAGTATTTTAAAGAGCATGGTTGCGCCAGCGTCATAACAGATTTGTAGATAGATGTTTTTGTAATAATATGGCAGCTATGACACTTTTCCCTTCCCCTTCCTCACCCATCCCCCGCGCCCTGGATTGGCTAGTACGAGCGACGCGGGCACACAGAAAAAGGAAAAAAGAAGAAATATATGGCGGTTACCTAGCGCGCGCTCCGCATTACAGAAATCTGTTATTTTGTGATTTAATTATTGAGATGGCCTAAGACTTTATTCTTATACAACATCAGTGTCAGTGTATCACAGTGTCGTGCAAGATAGAAATATGCCGCCTAAATGTAATAAATCTGAGAACGATTTGAAGCTTTTGTACGCTAAGAGGGATATGATTTATTCACGCGTGCAAACAATTTGTGATAATGCACTTAAGATATCCGACTTAGCGATAAGAGACTCATTTCTTTGTTCTATTGAAAACATAGACGATTTGCGCGCGGATTTTGAAAGTATCGTTCATAATATCAACGCATTGCAATTAGAACTAGATCNAGCAGCCGTGATTCGGACGACTCCATCGTCTCCAGGTACGGCGTTTTCCTTCACAATTTCCCTCGGGTTGTGTTCCTTTGTTTCTTCCCGCCACGGCCCGAGAAAGTGTCATAGTTAAACAACGCAAATACAGTCCACACTCATTTTTGTAATAGATGACCGTTACAATTTTGGTCTACCAACCGCATAGCGCAACCAGAGCATACACACAAAATAAGTCCCATTAACTAATGTATATATTGATTCGCGGGACTAGTGTTATCAGCATATAATTACACACAATATTTTTATACTGTTCATTATTTCTAAATGAGATAGCGTTTATGAAATGGCACAGCTGGTAATGACGTAATTCTCCTATAGTCGTTCTTATCGATGCTTCTGTCAGTAGGTATGGTAAGACGAAGTCAGTGATTTTGTTTTTTATTTAGGATGACCAATATCAATTTTTAGCAAAAATATTTAAATGAACTCACGACAGATCTGATCTTAGAAGCTATCCGAGCCCATGGACATCACTTTATTATGAATACTCACACAATACGATTAAGGTGTCGAATAAAAAATATAGGTACTGTCTGTGTGGTGTCTCGTCTTTATGGCCAATAAACCATTATATATTATGTATTATTGTATTATATATACTTAAGTTCAGAAATTATTATATTCATAAAATATTTATTATAAAAACGAAAAACTTTTGAATTACGAATGGGAATTATTCAGGTTGGAGTATTATCCCTAAAATTTAAATTACATGTTTTATTTTAATATTAATCATTATTAGTGCGTTAGACGAGACAACTGATAATTATTAGGTTCTTTCATGCTTTGATATGAAATATCTCCTCTTTGGTTAACAAATCCAAATTCAAATTTATAAATTCATTTAGCTGGAGTTTTGAAAACAGTCATTCTTTGTTTTTTCCTCATTATTTTTTTCTTTGGCGTCGCTTATTACCGCACAATGGAAAACATGGAATATCGGTATATTTAGGAGTACGAGGTCTACCGTGGCACCAGTGCTGCAGAAACAGCTCGAAAAATTAACGATGCCTACGGCGCTGGTGTCGCAAAAGAAAGCACGGTACGGTTTTTGGTTTCAACGTTTTCGTTCTGGAAATTTCGACCTTCAAAACCAACCGCGTGGACGGTCGGGACCAAAGTGAAAAATGAAGAATTAAAACCTAGGTGGAAGCGGATCCATCACAAAGCACTTCAGAGATAGCTGCAGGCTTCGGGGTAAGTGATAAAACTTGATCCACTTGAAGCAAATCGGGAAAGTAAAAAAACTTGAGCGATTAGGTACCCCTAATGAATTGAGTGAACTTGCAAACACGCGTCAACTGCTGTGTAACTTTGCCCAACCGACACAATAAGGAAGAGATTATAAATCGAATCATTACTTGTGATGAAAAGTGGATACTGTGCGATAATCGGAAGCGCTCGTCCCAATGGTTGAACCCTGGAGACCTAGCCAAATCCTGCCCTAAGCGAAAATTGTCTCAGAAAAAGTTACTTGTGAGTGTTTGGTGGACTAGCGCCAGTGTCGTTTACTACAGTTTTTTAAAATCTGGCCAAACGATTACGGCGGATATCTATTGTCAGCAACTGCCAACCATGAAGGAAGAACTAGCTGCTAACAGCTAAACAACCAAGGTTGGTCAATCGCTTCACGACAACGCAAGAACACGCACTGCACGACAAACAACCACTAAGTTAGATGAGCTACAATTGGAATGTCTGCGACATCCACCGTGCTTCCCTGGAGCTTACTCCAATATATTACCATTTTTCCGGAATTCGGGAAACTTCTTACAAAGAAAAAATTCAACTCCGATGCGGCAGTCCAAACCGCCTTCAAAGAGTTTATTGATTATCGCCCTCATGGTTTTTTTCGTAAAGGGATCAATGAACTACTGAGATGGAAAAAGTACATAGATAACAACGGTGCATAGGTACATTGATTAATTAAATATATTTTACAAAAAAAAAAAACATTATATTCCTCCCGTACAAAAGGCCAATTTCATAATAATATGTAAGGACCTAATAATTCTTTTTTCTTGCATTTCAGACACAAACTGCATGGGTGTTCAACTTAAATATTATTATTGATTGTATCAATAATAAATTCAGTTCTTTTTTTGGCACACCATCAAAGACTGCCGACCTGCCACCAAAAACCACTGGTACTTTCACCCGAACGTCCGATCTCTGCTCGGGAGAGGAGTGAACGGGGTCAGCAATGTATCCAGACACGCGGCTCACCCTAAGGACGCCTGGTCGGTGAAGTCATAATTGAATAATGACTGTACGTCGGCCAAATCGGCCTAGATGTCATCACTGATTTTATTTTCAAAATTATTATTTTTATTTTCGCTTTTATCATCATTTAGAAGTACGTTAATAAAGATTATAATTTATATCTTGATTTCCATTATTTGACTATGATAACATGCCGCATCGCATTACCTTTTTGAATGTCTAGTTCAACAGCAGTGATAAGAATGTATTTACTTTTGAATCAAGCGCTACGACAAAGGCTAATACATATACTCGTACTATAGGTAATACCGACGAACTTACATTTCATTATTAGTTTAAATGAAAGTCTTGCTCTGTGACAGTATTATCTATAAAATGTTTATTTCAATTGGCTAATGATAATTCTCAATTTCGTAAATCGATCGCACATTTATCTGAAAATTTATAAATATTTATACATATATATTTATACATATTTTGAGTATGTTTTTTTTTTTTTTCGAGGTGCATATGCTACGGATATCTAATATCGTCATATCTGCGAATTTTATGTTTCAATCAAAAGCACGTTTTATTTTGTAAAATACATAGTTCCTTTTATTGTCGTTCACAGGCATGCGAAACCCAACGGATTCAAGGTTTCAATGTTTTTGGTGCTACATACTCTCGGGGTAGTATAGTCCAAACAGATGTTACGTATTTTGTCAACGAAAAATATATTTAGGATTGTTTCAAAACTTGGCGTATGTCGAATACGTAAAGGAAGTAAAAGGTGAAAAAGCCCTCAGCGTAGCGTCGTAATTTTATTACGTAATCTTTATTTATCTAAGGGCTGTGTTTTCTTCAAGGGTTACGCAAACACAACACACAATTGTGCTTTGTCTTGAGTTCCTTTTTCCCGTTCGTGGAAACGAAGCAAGCTTTATGTTTTAAGCTTTGGTTATGTAACGGAACAAATTAATTACACCAGTTACCAGTTTTAGAGACAAATGATTTCGTTAATGAAGAAAGAGTTTTACTTTTTTTTATTGCTTAGGTGGGTGGACGAGCTCACAGCCCACCTGGTGTTAAGTGGTTACTGGAGCCCATAGACATCCACAACGTAAATGCGCCACCCACCTTGAGATATAAGTTCTAAGGTCTCAAGTATGTTACAACGGCTGCCCCAACCTTTCTAATCGAAACGAATTACTGCTTCACGGCAGAAATAGGCAGGATGGTGGTACCCACCCGCGCGGACCCTGCCTATATCTGTCGTGAAGCAGTAATGTAATGTAATGGAGCAATGCGTTTCGGCTTGAAGGGTGGGGCAGCCGTTGTACTCTTAAAATTGATACCTTAGAACTCATGTCTCAAGGTAGGTGGTGATATTTACGTTGTAGATGTCTAGATCTCCATGGGCTCCGGTAACCACTTAACATCAGGTGGACCGTGAGCTCGTCAACCCATCTAAGCAAAAAAAAATCTTACGATATAGTTTTTTAGATTTAATTCCTCGATTTTTGTCCTGTCTCGCAAAAAGAAATATTTTCTTACATTTTAAATTGCATTCGAAGGCCAAGCGAACTTACCCTCCATCTAGTTAATAAATATAAATAGCATACGAGAACTTACATGTACCGCCCCATCCTAAATACCCTCCAGCGTAGGTAACAAGTATCCCTCCTCCGAAAATGAGCAGGCTCCGTACTGTGGGTGCATATAAATCATTGTGATCCGGAATGACATCGCATAACACGCCCCATGCGATACCGAGGCAGATCCCCACGAATATCGCAAGCAAGCCCTGTATAATTAAATAAGAAAGATTCAGTTGAAATTACACAGAGAATAAATAATAAGACAATTGTATTTCCCACAGACCTATGAGATAATTATGTTTCCTCAGTGATATCTTTCGGTTTTCTAATGTAGATGCTCACAGCATTTGTTACATACAATTCGAATTAATAATTAGGAATAAAATATTAATATCATATAAAAGGCTTTTTTTTGTTTTTTGTTTTTTATTGCCTTTGTAGGCAGACGAGCATACGGCCACCTGATGGTAAGTGGTCACCGTCGCTCATGGACGTCAGCAATACCAGGGGCAGAGCGAAGCCGCTGTCTATCCATGTATCTGTGTGTATTATCTAATATTCAATTACGTTACTTAGGATTTATGGTTGAAATTTAATTAGAGTATTTACGCATCGCCCTATTTATACAACCTCATGCTTATTTAATTTTAGGCGATTTAAATTAAACCAAACATTAATTCAAGCATATCATAGCACATCACTGACCAAACCATATTCAAATTTAGTTCAGCTGCTGTGGAGATTACAGGGAATAAACGCACGAATACACAATGTGTTACAAATATGTTGTAATTACGGCATAAATGATAAATTAAACATAGTAAGTGACTGATTTATTAATTGGCTTAATAAGAGCATAAATAATAACCATAACTTTTATAGTCAAATAACTTTTTTATAGTCAACCTTCGGTTTGACGGGTGGGGCAGCCGTTGTAACTATACTGAGATCTTAGAACTTATATCTCAAGGTGGGTGGCGCATTTACGTTGTAGATGTCCATGGGCTCCAGTAACCACTTAACACTAGGTGGGCTGTGAGCTTGTCTAAACATCTAAGCAATAAAAAAATAAAAAAATGTCAATTGAACATTTCCATAAACATGTCAGCTATAGGTTATTCGATTATAATAATAGTTTGTAACGAAAACTTTTTTATATTAAAGTCTATAACGATCTGGCCTGATTTGGAATGATTTTCCTTGCTCATGAAAAATGTAAAGAAATTAAAAAATCATAAAATGCGATCAATGAAACCTGAACAGTGTTTTTTTAATTCTTTTATCTAATTCTCAAAAATCGTAAAGGCTATGTTGGACTTACTTTTGTATAGTTATCAAGACGTCTATGATGAATAAAATCGATGTTTTGATATGACACAATACGATCGACCCGATATTGCGGCTGATCCCCACAAATATCGGCAACACGCCCCGCTGGATTAAAAGGGACGGTTAAAAGGTCGAACGTTTCCTAAAGTCGAGAGGGTTGAGTGAAGACGTAGGGCTTTTTAAATATTTTCGCTCGAGTGATATAAATTTCCGTACGGTTTTATGTGAATGACTTTAATTTGCTTATTGAACATAATTTATGAGACAAAACAAACTTCTCGCAAACTACAAATTTTTATATTGTATATATTATGTATAAGTATTATAATTTAGTTTAAGGCATCTTTAAGCGCCATCAATAAAAAAAAATCTAATGATTTAAAGTCCTTAAAGTAAACAAAACATTACAACAAGCGTTACATTTTTAAGATTTTGTAGGCACCGCATCTTTGAATAAATATTTGCTTAATAATATCTGGATCCCACGTGTTCGACGTCGAAGTTTTTATGCTCAGTTTTTCCCTGAACGTCGTTCGAAATATTAAACTTTTATACATTTATTAAAAAAGCGTTATCAGTCTAGACATGATTCAGATGGTGACTTAAACTTTGACATTTTAAACATTCTTTGAACATCGAATGGCAAAAAATATGTTAGCAGTAAAATGAAATCATAAATGTTAAGCATAATTTCAGTTTAAAAGAACTTTTGTTCCTATTTTGTTATGATAATGAATGGAGTAAACACCTTTCACTCAAGTATTGCGGTGACAGCACTTGGCAAATATGGGTTGGGCCCCGGAACTAATTTTAGCAACAGCGGTTGGGGCGGTTAAGACTTCATACGTAACACTTTCAACGTAATGAAGTCTCCAGAAAATTGTTATCTTTACATAAGCGATTTATGCAAAGTTTTGGGTAATCAAAGGGTAATGTTGCTCCTGCAATTTATGTTGGCTGTTTTAAATAGCACATAGGTAATATACGTTTAAATATTTTTTAATTCAAGTCTCAAAAAACCTAATCAAGCCAATTATAGCCAAATATAATTATAGCCAATCTAAACTGATTTGAGATATATTATACAAACGTGAAATAATATACATATATAAATAAGCCTATTTCTATGAAATTTCCCTATAAGAAATTATTTTCTATAAAGAAGTACCCTATCTGTTAATTCTAGCTCAGAATTAAATTGTAAATGACAAGAGCTAGGCAACGCTATCTGCTATAATAACTATAATAACAGTGCGTTCGTTGGTTCGTGATTTTACATACGGATTTATGAATCAGCTTATACTTTATATGTCAGACAGTGATATAAGCAACTCTTTGTGTCGGGAGTATTCAAAGTTTAATTATTTCTGAGTTCCAAATTTAACGCAGGTTAAACTGCGAGGCCCGCCTAATATAAAAAGGTTTTTTGTGGTCTTATATGTACTTTGTTTTCATTTTTTTACTAGATAGAGGGGTGGTTGTACGAGATAGGTAAAGCCACAGTCTTAGAAGCTATATGATGATGAGTAAGAAACATGATGAACCGGAACACATGATTACTATGAGGGAGAAATGGGAAGGATGTTCGTTCCTACTTAACAGCCCACACCCCAGCACCATTCAATTAATAGCTAAATATATAAAGCCTTAAAAATATACTATAATAATCTTACAAACCTTGATAATTTTATACGTTAAGGATGCTTCATAGAATATAGCGCTATTAGTTACTCCGAATATGCCCTCAGTGAAGGCCGTGTCCAGACCACCGGCGTTTCCCACCAAAAGTGCTATTTCGTGCTTAGTGCCAAGCCCACGTTCTTTTAGTGCCACGACTGTCGGTACTATTACAGCTGGTGACACGGATGATAATATCGCTCCGAGATGTAGACCTGTACAATTTTTTCATAATATTAAATTATTTACGAGTCAGTGTTATGAGGTTAGATGTGCTGACGGTTCCACAAAGTTATGTTGTCTAGCACCTTGATACCATGATAATCATACCATTCTCACGGATCGTTTGGAACCCATGGGTCTACGGAGAGACTTCAGTTCTCTGTGTATTTTGTACAGCGCGTTCCATGAGGGCACCCCTCGGAGGAATTGTTGGAGATGATCTCATTTTCTTGTTTTTACCATCGCACTACTAGCCATCTAAGTAGATTTTATCTATAACACCTAGAGCCACTGCTTTCTCTACAGTGTGTTTCCAGAGCTTTTTTCTGGTATGTTCTATCCGGCTTTCGATTGAACTCCCATACGCGATGGCTCCCGAGCACTATGACATATCCTTCATCAAACGGAGCTTGCGGAGAGAACTCAGCGGTAGGCAGCTGCTTGGCTCTGCTCCTGATGTCCAAGAACAATAGTAACCACTCACCATCAGGTGGGCCGCATACTGATCTGCTTACAAGAGTAATAAAAAAATTGACGATGAGGTCCACATTTCGTAAGCACTCGTATCGGTTCTGTTACCTATGTCTTAGGGTTTCATTCGTTGGGATGTCATTTCGTTAGAGGTTTGTTTGAGGCCATCACAAACTGTAATTATTTGTTTAATTGAATTGCAAAAAACTGTGCAAAAGTTTCAACCCAATCAGATGAACGGCTTGGGGAAGCATAAAAGAGTGACAAAGGTTGATGTTTATGTACAAATATCTAAGGATCTAATTCACTTCCATATCTTAATTTCCATTGTAATATAATTATTATAGATCTGTATTTCAGAATAAATTGTGAAATCCAAAATTGTCTCGATTCAAATATAATATCGAACTGGTCGTTACAAAACTCAGACTCTCTCCAAAAAGAGGTTTATTTTTTATTTCCTTACTCCTTATCCTACAGGTCCAAGTCCTAATTGAATATGGAACAATTTTGGTGACGCTAAACGCCCATAAATAAAAAAGCTGTTCATTTTTGGTTATTCAAAAAGTTTTCCTTACCCCATTTCCATTGGTAGTTCAGAAGTATATGAGCGAGGAAGGCCGTGGACAAACACTCGATGATCCAGGGCAGAGTGGCCAATGAGAAAACTTTTACCGGATTATTTTTTATATATTCCCAGTTCCAGCTGAGCGGGCCCTTCGTCAAGATAATTACGGGGTAAATTCGTCTGAAAGAAAGAACGAACTGCTTTTGTTCCGCGAAGTTGTTACAGACGATTTTTTTATCTACTTATTAATTAAGGTATCCGAATATTCTCATTTTCAAATTTCGTTGAGTTACGAAATTGTTTGTACAACTTTTTAATGAAGTACCAATTAAGATAACATTGGATTGTTGGGAAAATTTTAAACAATGATTTTTGCCACTCCGTTTAACTTGTAAAATTATGACGACATTTAGCAAAATAATCAATAGACAAAAAAACTGTTAAAGTTTTGTCCTACTAAATTATTAGTGTGCTCATTTCTGAGTCAGTTTAAGACAATTATCAACTCGTAACACTTTAAGCCCGTTTTTAGTTAAATGTGTTTTGTCTAGTTAAAGCAAATTTACTTCTCTTTGTTACATAGTATTGTAACATAGTATCAACCGTCAATTAAACAAATCATCAGTTCAGATTTGTTTTCAAAATTAATCAAAAGTTACATTTCACAGGCAGCTTTTTTATTTAAATCTAAATTGATAATTTTGATCTAACAATAATACTTGTCTGGCAACTATAAAAAATTATATGTAAAAGCAACAATTTGTATTGTAGCATTAAACTAGAAAATTCTGGTTGCAGAGAGTAGTCGTAATTAGTTTTAACTAGACAAAACTCGTTACAACTAAAAACTAGGTGTTTATTGTACTAGGTGGGTGACTCACGACTAATTTTCTATTAAGTGATCAGCGGAGCCCAGAGATATTACAATCTGACAAGTAAAAGTAGTATAATAAGCAGACCATTGCTCCGGCTTATTGTAAATTAATTAAGAATTAATAGAAGAATGTCTATCAAATATTTCAAACCTCAGATGAAAATCAATACTGTCTGCAGTAGAATTTTCAAGAAAATTCGTCGTTCCCAGGTTTCTGTAGAGAGCTCCCATAAATGTCATTCCAACTACGGGGTTGATTGTAGTGAATCTTTCCAAGGCATGGCCAAAGCAGTAAGCGGCTATAATCACGCCGGACATGTTGAATATATAGCTCCCTGGCAACACTGCGTCTTTGAATAGGAACCAAGAAGTACCCCATAAGGTCAGTCCTGTAAATTAAGCTGAGTACACGTTCAAAATAGAAGCTGACACAAATTCATTTTGTAGGTCGTCTCTTAAATCGAATTCTAAACTTTAAAACATTGGATTGATTCTATACAATATTTCTGTTTATCAATTTGAATGAACAAGATAAGCTATTAATTATAAATATAAATTATACATATATATATAAATTAATATTTAATTATGTAGTTATTCTTCAAGAAGAAGCTTAGTGTGTGTAAATGGAATATGCAAGTGATGTGCCGATCAGTTAAAATATTTGTGATATATGTTTTGGGGTGTCTAGGGCGATTTTTGTAGGGTCTGATTGCCGAGATGGCCGACAGATCGTCTACAAATCGACACCAAAAATTCAACTAGGTATACCTTCGCAAGCTGGTATACTAGTGTGTGGTAGTGAATTATAATTAACTTGCGAAAGCCATCAAATATTATGCATGAAGAATTGCTTTGCTTCGACGTGGTGATTTGAAACTTTACGCGAAAGCCAGTGAAACAGTCTAAAACTCATTTTAAATCGCGGTTATACAGAATTATTTGCTATGCACTATTTTGGGGTATGAAGGCATAGTGGAGTCTACTGTCCATTGGGAATTACATATACTGCTGAACTATAACTTTACGTTAATTATTCAGAGTGGCTACCAAATAGTATGCTTGATCGATTCTATGTCGGAATGAGAATTAGATATAAATATAGGTTCATGTATGTATGGTTTGTATCACAAACTCACCGCATATGAGAACTCCGATATATTGTTTCGTTTCAACAAGTGAAGGGATCGCCGATAACAATTTATTAAGAATGCTTTCCCTTCCTTTTTGTTTATCTTGTCTGCTAAAATAAACAGAATAATGTACCGACTCCCTTTTTAGAAGAACTTAATAATTGAGTTTTGTAACGTCGTGATACAGTTAAAATGAAGTCTTCGGTACATCAAAACAATTGTTTGTCTTTTAAAGGTTATGTTATGTTACGGTGACCATATTTTATGTAATACTTAAATTTAAATTATAAAAATGATGTAAGCAACCATCACTTACCATCACAAAAAAAAATTACTTCTTGGCGCTTATAAAATTATTAATAAAGTATTTTTAATTAACTTATTTAAGATAAGATAGAATACTTACTCACGTTTTGAAGCCTATTTCAAAAGTGGTGGCCTTGTTCTGTCTTATATTGTCATTTTGATCTGAAATTATTATTAAATTCATTACAACGATTACATGAACACCCTCGACGTTTTCTCCATTAGACTAATAACTAATTGCTGTCACTAAAAGTAACCATAGCGAAATGTATATACATTGTTTTCGTTCATTAGTTTTTGTAGTCATAAACATTTTATTGCAAAAAAAAACTACATCCGACAAGCACGATTTGCGTTTAGCAGCCTGTAAGATCATGTGAATTCAATCGGCATTTTCAGGAATGAAATATTAACAACGGCTTTAGAATCAAACGATTCTGGATCTGGAATATCTCCTTGAAATCGGAAAGGATTATTGCTTTACGTTGATAATTAGTGTGATAATGATTTACTTGGTTTGATAGTACAGCGTCACAACACGATCAATCGGCTTTATATTTTTAATTTAAACGTAGCTTTGTTGTTGATTAATATGTATAAGGAAGTAATATAATTATTGATTATAAATAGACGTCTGTTAATGTACTTAGATACTTCATAAATAAAAATGGCGCTTTCAAATTAGAACAAACGAAGGTTTTATTTTTTAAATAATCACTGTCGGTAATTTAGGCTATCAATAATAATTAATATAATTTGCTAACAAAGCCTTATTGTGGAATAGATGAGGATAAATTAATGATAAAGTTTCGTGGATATACCCATAACATTTTTAGGGTGGAACAGAAAATTGGTGAACATACCCGTTCGATTAATATCGTTCATCTTAGTGAGACTGTCGCCACTGATTACCGCAAAATTAAAAATGTCACAATTGCACTATCTCATTAACTATACTCAAATAGAGTTATTATTCCTACTACTAATATATTGAAAGTAGACCGAAAGTTTTTACTCAGACGATGATGTTTCCAATGTTTCACCCAAGCCGTTTGATCACTTTAAGCGTCCCTCTAATAATAAATACATTACAATTCAACACATGCGCACTCAACTCAGTCCAATTGTCACAATGTAAGATTCATTAATCGCTGGACATTGGAACATGTCGATGTAATGTAAATGTTTCAAAGTCAACTGTGCTAGTTTGAAAATAAGCCTCGAAGAATTTATTAATAGGTGACGTGGCACCGGACGTGCTATCGTCATTACTGCTCCTGAACGACAAGGGAGCGTGATGTTTACATAACTCAACGCTTACTATTTTTTCAACAATTACTGTATTCAAGACTACATAACTTTAATTTACATTGATACGTTGATTGCAACAGGAATGACAGGTAGGTACAAATAATTATTTCAAAACAAAAGATGGATTAAACATTTTTTTGCGCATTTTTTAACTTTATAGCGTGCTTGAATGTACTAGGATATGCACTTATTAATATTCTTAAAATGAGTATTCGTTTTTGCAAATAATAATGATCCCATACAAAAAGAAATTCCCGAATTCAAATAAATCGTAAATGATTTTTTTGGAACGAAGTTCCTTAAGGGACGATGCGGAGGAGTACCCTAACCGGGGAAAAACGTCCGTAACGTAAGATTTTTTCTATTTAGTTTGTTATCAACAGATGTCGCTGCACGTAAATTCAACAATTCCCGAATCGCGGTGACGAGATGTTACACAGTTAATAGACGTTCTCGTATATCTCTTGCTAAATCATGCTTACCTGGCGTGGGGGATACCGTGATCATGCAGGTGGTTCCCCCAGGGCAAGGCTGCTCCATTGCACTGCGGAGTAGTTGACCATTGCGATTATTTTTATTTTTATCAATAAAAAAATCATAATAAAAAATGTATACCCGAATAATTATTTTCTTTATACCTCGAATAGAACTTAAAATAAATATTTTTATAATAAGGAACTTCGTTCCTCTCCGGTGTCCCACGACACCACACGCATTTTTTTAATGAAGGAAGAATTAATGATGGCCCGGCGGGCTTTCCAGCTTCACCAAGACAGGTGTACGAGCACGGGCTAAGCCAGGAGGGGTGAGATTTGCTAACAACTGTTTGAGCGCCCCCAAAGGAGACCTAACAAATCAAGAGCAGCTGCTTCGCGAATGAATCTACTATCGAATCTGAATCGCAACCCGTTGAAAAGATCCGGCGAGAAACTCAGCTCTCTGATGCATGGGTTAACGGGGTAATGTTAAGCCACAGTAATTGGATCTCATGGATCCGTAAGGACGTGTCGAGGGCGTCGACAGTGATTGGCTCCTGCATGAGCAAGATTCGAAATCGCAAATGATGCAGTTGTCATAGACAGCCACGACTCTTTTTGATTTACAATAAAGTCAGATAATTACAATCCGTTTTTTTTTGTTTTTTTATTGCTTAGATGGGTGGACGAGCTCACAGCCCACCTGGTGTTAAGTGGTTACTGGAGCCCATAGACATCTACGACGTAAATGCGCCACCCACCTTGAAATATAAGTTCTAAGGTCTCAAGTCAGTCTACTGGTGGTAGGGTTTTGTGTAGAAGCCCGCCCGGGTTGGTACCACCGTCCTGTCTATTTCTGCCGCAAAACAGTAATACTGTGTTCCGGTCTGAAGGACAGGATAGCCGGTGTAACATACATAAGGCTGCCCATCCAGGCCAGGATAGGCAGCGCATCTGAGTCTCTGATGTAATTTGGATGTCTATGGGCGACGGTTATCATTTCCCATCAGATGAGCCGTAANTTCTGCCGCAAAACAGTAATACTGTGTTCCGGTCTGAAGGACAGGATAGCCGGTGTAACATACATAAGGCTGCCCATCCAGGCCAGGATAGGCAGCGCATCTGAGTCTCTGATGTAATTTGGATGTCTATGGGCGACGGTTATCATTTCCCATCAGATGAGCCGTAAGCTCGTCTGCCTATCGAAAGCAATAAAAAAAAAAAAAAAAAGTATAGTTAAACGGCTGCCCCACCCTTCAAACCAAAACGCGTTACTGCTTCACGGCAGAAATAGGCAGGGTGGTGGTACCTACCCGCGAGGTGTCAAAAGAGGTCCTACCACCAGTAATTATGCAAATTATAATTTTGCGGGTCATTCATCATTTTTATTACACAATGTTATTCCTTCACCGTGGAATTCAATCGTGAACATTTGTTGAGTACGTATTTCATTAGAAAAATTGGTACCCGCCTGGGATTCAAACACCGGTGCATCGCTCAACACGAATGTACCGGACGTCTTATCCTTTAGGCCACGACAACTTCGAAACTTCGAACGATGGATGATAATAAAAATAAAATGTCATTCATTTTTGGTGGTTGGTTCATTGGTTAATTTTTTTCGGTGCGAGATATTCTACAAATAATGGTGTTTTTCCTTACATTGTAAACATATAATTCAAAATGGCTGGCTGCAAACACGAGGTTCGCTTAGATTTAGCTCACTTGTTGCGAGACGATCCACAGCAAAAAAGGGGCCTATCAACGCTGTTCTGTTTGGATGGGTTGTTTTTTTCTATAGCTTAAAGAAACCCTATATGAGGTTGGTAAACGGTGTATACTCTAGATTCGCCGGCAAAAGGAAGTCATTCCATCGGCAAACAATAACGTACGGTCGGAAACGTCTTTTACGCTAGGCCGGCCTCAGTCGAGAGACGATAAACGACAAGCCTTTAAAGAGCGGGCAATTTGCGCGGTAACACCCGCCGGATACTGGGTGCTCATTAACTATGAACGTCGTCATCAAGACTCGTCTTCAGCAGAAAAAACGGCGTTTAACTGTAGCACTCTCAACGAATAAATGCAGCGGCGGAACGCTTTTGAGTCTTCACCGCTACAAAGTGCATATAAATTGCAACGTGAAATTGAAATACGGATATGAAAAGAGTAAAGTTTTGAAAGGCAAGTCGGGGGCAGTTCACTTTAGAAATCTCCAAGTTTTTCTCTAGTATGGGTATGATTGAAATGTGAAATTGCAAGCATGGAAATAGCTCTGATATTTGTATAGAAACGCTTGTAAATAAGGACACATATTTATGATTGATTTTACTGCCATATATATTTTACTTCTACGGTTCATTTTCAGAATATTATGTTCTGTACCTATTTATAATTTTATCATAATTATCGCCCAATTAGCCTCCGCATGTCTCTAGGCAAGCTGTATGAGCGTCTGCTCCACGAACGCCTCAGATACTTCTTCTCATCCAAGGGCAATCACTCATGCATTCAATAGGTGCACCGCCTCACGGAGCACATTCTCGTAGGGCTTAAACGATAAAAACGGTCTACACGGGAGCCCTCTTCTTCGACGTCGCAAAAGCGCTCGAAAGTCTGGCACAGTGGTTTGATTTTCAAACTATTTAACATGGGCGTGCCGTGCCATCCCGCAAGGGTCCGTCCTGTCGCCGTTCCCATTTAGTTTATTTATCAACATTCCCCGGTCACCGCCGACCCAGTTAGGCGTTTTCGCCGACGACACAACCGTTACTTGAGTAGAAACAAATCCCTAATCGCGAGTAAACTTCAGAGCGCAGCCGTAGCCCTCGGACGGTGGTTCCGAAAATGGTGCCTAGACCTTGACCCAGCGAAAAGCACACCGGTGCTCTTTCAAAAGGGAAACTCACCGCATATTTCCTGCATTACGAAGAGAAATATCACGTCCTCCATCACCCTCATCGGCCAATCTATACCGTAGGCCAGGAAGGTCAAGTACCTGGGAGTCACCCTGGATGCATCCACGACATTCCGCCTGCATATAAAATCAGTACCTCATGATCTGTAAGAGGATTAAAATGTCCCTTCGGAATGTGACACTTTACAAAATTTGCATAAGGCTCGTCATGACTTACGCAAATGTGGTGTTCACTCACGCAGCCCGCACACAGATAGACATCCCCCAATCCCTACAATCCTGCTTTTACAGGTTAGCCGTCGGAGCTCCGTGGTTCGTGAGAAACGTTGACCTACACGACGACCTGGGCCTGGAATCAATCCAGAAACATATGAAGTCAGCGTCGGAACGGTGCTTCGATACCGCTATGTGTCATGATAATCGCCTTATCGTTGCCGCCACCGACTACTCCCCGAATCCAGTAACGGTCGACGCTGTAGACACGTTCTTACGAAACCATCAGGCCCTTTTAGACGCCTTTAGCTATGACACTAGGAGCAGGCTTAGGGACCCCGTTAACCGTGCTCGTAGAAATCAGCAAAGAGTTCGACATGCAACCTAACATCAGCCCGCGGAGTTTCTCGTCGGATCTTCTCAGCGGGTTGCGATTCCGGTCTGGTGGTAGAATCACTCACGAAGCAGCTACTCTTTAGTTGATAGGTATTATTTGGAGGCGCTCAAGCAACTGTTTGCATCTCACCCCTGCTTGCTGAACCAAAACTCGCCCACCTGACCTGGTGAAACTGGGCCTCCAGGCTACCAGCAATCTAGGCAATCAATTATATAAAAACCTTTTTTTTTTAAAGTGACTTCGCGTGCAGTAATATTGAATTTTTCTCTTTTCTTCCTGAAAAGCAGCAATGAAATCTTTCGTATGGAATTGTGATTTATAGAATTCTACTAATATCTATACTTCTATACTAATATTATAAAGAGGAAAGATTTGTTTGTTTGTTTGTTTCGAATAGGCTCCGAAACTACTGGACCGATTTGAAAAATTCTTTTTCCATTAGAAGCCGACATTGTCCCTGATGAACATAGGCAACTTTTTTTTTTATTTTTTTTTATTTCATGTGTGTTTTAATGTTTCCGAAGCGAAGCGAGGGCGGGTCGCTAGTCTATTATATTACTAAATATCAAAAATCAATATAAGATTGTACCATACAAATAAAATCAGACAAAAAACATACAACAGTTTTCTTGAATAGGAAGCACACATTCTGATTTTTACTCGAGGATTTATGATCGAATAACAAGATTAAGGATTATATTATGATTGTAAATCTAACAAATAAAACGGAAGGGAAAATAAGAGAGATATTCAAAATCTGTCACTTTAATGTGATATTCGGAAATATAAACACAAAAATGCG